TTTTTTTTTTTTTTTTTTTACATTGCATTTAAACTTATGTCCTCGAATTATTCAGACTTGAATACCCTATCCCCAAGGCCAAATCAAAAATTTCAAGCTTAGAAATTAAACATCTAGGTCATTTTTTGTCGAATGGGAGTCAAACTTGTAATATTTTTACTTTTTCATAACGTATCCCTGGTTCCTATACTTTTATTTAGATCCTAAACGTATATTTCCCAGTTACTTAATATCCCGTTCCTATATATCTCGGTTTCTATATATCCCGGTTCCTATACTAATATTTAGGAGAATAAAATCTCTCCTAAATATAAGTATAAGAACCGGCAAACCGCACTAAGAGTCAGATTTTGTTATTTGTTAAAAGCTAATTTTTTCAAACGGACATTGCCGAAAAATGAATATTTTCGTCATTTTAAAAAACCTCTGCAATTGTAAGTATACGATTATGACCAAGAACTGCAAAAATAAAGGCTCGGTAATTACTTTTAAGCCGGGTAAGGGGTTGGGTTTATATGTACGATTGAAATACTTCCTCTACTGTATAAAAGGAAGTAAAAAAGAAAGAGGAAGGAAAAAAGAATGGGATTAACAATTCCGGTGGTCGACTGTGGGAGGGTGCTCTGCCTAGGATCTCACCCAGACAGACTCGGCTCCTGGGATACATAACTATTCTTCTCAGTGACTAGAACCATAGTTTATTCGGTGGTATGTTCAGATTCGGCCGGGACCGTACTGGTACTGTCTTGTCTGCCCCTTGGTTGTGAGATCGCTACATGGTGATATATCGAAGGTTGTCCTTGGAGGCTAGGCTCCCCTTGGTCAACCTTGGGGGACAATCTTTGAGCTGACTTCGTTCTTTTTGTAGGTGCCTGCTTGCAAGTCGCCACTGACTTCTGTACCATAAACTTATGTTCAATTGTGTTCCCCTGGGTGGACCAAGGGGTTATACCTTCTTGGGTCGACTTGGAATGAGGATTTGGGACATCAGTAACCTTGTTAAGGGCTTCACATAACCCAGATCAGGAATTCCCCCCTCACTAACATACTACTGTAGTAAAGTAATAATATAAACTAAGAAGAAAAAACTGTTTGTAGGAAGTACTAAAAATGTTTAAAAAAGCTGAAACGTTTTCACAGAGATATCATTAATCTTATTCACTAAGACTGTAAGCATTTAGCTGGATGAAACATAGGGTGTCATAAAGTGTAGCGACAAATAGTATGTTACGTGTTAACAGCTAAGACTCAAATGGCTACGGAACCGCTTAGCAAATTTGAAAATTTCAAGAAGAGTAGCAACAGATCGTTCACTGGATTGCTATTGAAATTCCTTTTTGGATCTTTTAACACCTAAAAGTGATCTCAAACCTATATATTTCAAACTTATAACTCCATCCCCCCCTCATTACCGACAACTTCCAGCTTCAAGATGAATATCTGTTACAATTATAAGGAATCTTCAAGGATATGAACAGGAGATCTTTTGGAAGTATTTGCATAGTATAACTATATGACATTAGACAAGAGAACATATTGCATAATGTAGACAGAGCAATAAAGCTCAAGAATATTTATGATGAATCCTGGTTTCCTCTGTACTGTCACTGACATCGTGTCACAATCTCAAGAGTGAAACCAACACTTTATAGCAAAACAGTATTCTCGAAAGACGCATTTACAGAATGGCAATGCGTTGGTTTGAACAGAATTTCTTTGAACTTATTCCTGGCTCATTTTTGAATTGCATTTCCTGATGCATTTTTGAATAATCTGGAGTATTAAAGGAAATTATTCATTAGTAATTGAAATTATTTGCTGCTATTGTATGACTTATTTGTTTCCTGGATGGCAATGCCCTGTTGCTTTGAGTAACCGTAATCAATTGATGAATTGAAGATGCAGAATTCTAAGAATGCATTTGTCAGTTCGCTTCCAAAATTCATTTCGACTAAATATATGTGGTATGACTCAGCAGATAGCTCTCCTTTCAAGAACTTTAAGTAAACTACGGTAGGGATTAAAGCTTACGTGAGCTCTGCTAACTATCTGGTAACATAGCTGATACCCCGGAGAAAAAATCAAGACCTGCTTTCACATCAGTGTATGAAAGCTTCTTAACAATCTGTGTATATCTCAGTTTTTTTTAAATCTCTTTAGCGCTTGTTTTTATTTCTTATTTGACTTTTGCAGCAAAATAGTATAAATTTTTCGAAATGTAGAATCAGCTCAACATAATGCAATAAATCGTTGTATTATTTACATCCAAGTTTATTTTTGTACTTATACTTTATATAAACACAAAATAAGCGTAGATGTAAAAATACAAAAATAAGTGTAGATATAAAAATACAAAAATATGTGTAGATGTAAAACCTAGAAGATATGACTAGACATTTCTTAAATTTTGAAACGTGTTTTGAAGTGTATTTCAATAAAACAATACACCGGAAGCTGTCGATACTTTGCCAGTTCAAAAAGAATTAATTTGCATTATTAAAATATTAGTACTGGATTGTGTTTAATACAATAATGCTAAATGGCAACATTTATTCTCATACGTCAGCCTATCAGCAGACAAATGGTTGATGAATAATATTGTTAAGAAATGTACAGGCGCGGTGAGATAGCTTCCCCGCAAAGCAGGGTTGCCACATTTGGCAACAAATCCCCCATTTGGCGACAAAATTGGCAATATGCCATGAATGAATGGAGAACCTTCTGGAACGAATTCTTACCGGTTTAGGCCAGAATGTTCTCGAACACAAGCTAATCACTATATAAACCCTGCTAGTACGCGGAGACTCAGTGCGAGATAGTTAGTCTCGAGTTAGTCAGTCCGTGCGGAGTCGATCGAGTTGACAGCCGGGCAGAAAGTGTCGAGTTGGTCGTCGAGTGCATCGAAAGAGTCTTATTGGCGGTTAGTGCATCGTCGAGAGAGCGTGTTGAGCTCCAAGAACGACTGAACCGAAGAGTCGGGATCTGTGCTCCGTGTGTCGTCAAGTGCTCGCGAGTTGTAGCGTGGAGAGTCACGAGTGTACGTGGAGCTCCGAGAACGACCAAGCAGAGTCGGGAGCTGTATTCTGCTGCTTTGCAGTGAAGCTGTCTCCACCGTTATAACCTGATAACCTGAAGGCTGTGTCGCTGATTGTTCCAGCGCGTTTATAGTAGATCTTCGACGACTGTAAAAAGTGACTTTGGAGCTGTCCTGATTAATACTGGCTAAATAAAGTGAGTTTCGATATTCCATCAAGTGCTGTCGTCGTTATTCACTCCAAAGCTACGAACCCCGTACGAACGTGAAGGAAGAAAATAACGCAGTGATATACTTAAACATTAGTAACTGCTTTCTAGAATAAATTAATAATTCCCTATAATGCTCTAAATGCTTTTCTAGAAGTGTAGAAATTAATGGTTTGAGCCCAGGAAATTTTAAAAGTGCACCAATAAGAATGCAACAACATAGATAACATGAAAAATAATAATATGTAATTAATTAGTTACTAGTGAATCAATTTGAAAATGAATTTAATAAGATAAAACTACTTGTACCGAAGGAAAACATAGCTTAGTTTTTATCTTAAGTAAAGAAAATAGCCAGATATTACTAAGTGCTTCTAAATCCGTTTTAAAATCAGTTTTCGCAAAACAAGAGTTCTTTTTTCTGTTTATACGTACAGATGTCACACAATATTGTTCAAATGGATTCGAGACTGATCAAAATGGATGTTTTAGTTGAAATATGATACCTGGAATTTTTCGCTATTACAATACTTCCTTTACTGCTTTCAAAAAAGTAAAAAGCAATAGAAAACTTCCCTTGCATATTTTTTAAGCACATGCATTGTTAAATTCGCATAAAAGAAATGCATAAACCAAATTTTACTTTCTTTGCTTTAAAAGAACTATATCACAGTAGTTTAAAATTTAATTTTTTTATGATTTAAAAATAGTACATAAACTAGGATGTTCGTTACCTTCTCTGCTTCTGTTGCATATTTCTCTTCCATAATGCATTTGATAGTTTTTTCTGATTCCGTATTCATATTCTAAAATGCAAAATATAAAGAATGTTATGTAACTTAAAATATAAAGCACTTATTGGCATGAGTAAATTTAAAACAAAATACTAACTCTTCTTAAACGCAGCTCTTCTATAAGTTCTATTAACTTCCGCTCAAAAGAAAGAATATTGAAATCATTTTTGGTAACTTCGCACACTGAAAACGTTTCATCCATTTTTTGGTAGAATGAAGTAATTTTCTTTAGCACTTTCTAACCACCAGAGTTTCAGTTTTGAATGATTTCCGTAGTTTGCATACATTTTCGCATACGGGATTTATCGTCTGCTTACACACACACACACACAGATCGTATTTTATTTTCGAGGGTCAAAAAGATGTAGAAACATTTTTAAATCTTTTTACTCGATTTCTGCTCAAAGTGTGTGGTTATAAACGTAATTTTTTGGTCTGACCAAGCTGTTTTAGTAATACAATAGAGCAATTCTGAAATATTGTCTTTATGGAAGAGCTACGCTATTCTGTGATGAACCAAGAGGAAATAAATGGTCTACATAATAATCCTAAACCTAATAGTCTCTGATATACTGGTACACATTCACATTAGTATTTTAACCAGTTCATTTTGCATATGCCCTAGTTAAGGATCCGTTTTGGAAATACGGTGACCAAAAGTACAAGTACATAATTTTTTAAACGCTTTTCTTTTATTTGCCCGATGGGGAAAATAAATAATTGTAAAGTGTAACAATGTTAACATAATAGTATACAATGGTAATGTTATAATAATATAATAGAATGTAATAATATAGTAATGTTATAATAATATATAATTGTAATGTGTAAAAATGCTATCATAATAGTCCGAATTAATAAATATTAAAATAATAAATGAACGAGATTAACAACTTTCGAGAACAAAACACGGAGTACAAAAAATCGGTAACTATAACCGTTGATTTCAATGTTTGTATACAAATGATTTAGCTCCAGTTTTGAGCACCGGTGAATAAAAAGATTGCAAAAATCACTGTATTATATGAGTTCTTAGACTTTTAAGTACATCATTTTTTTATTTGCTAACTTCTATATGTTAAACAATAATAATTTTCCTTGATTCGATAAAATCTGTCGATGTCTTTAATTAAATTTAGGACTTTGCGAATTCGTAAATTACTTCAGATTTTCAAATCTAAACCTGTGGAAACTAGTTTCGTAATTTCCCTTATATTAGCTACACTCTCACCTCTTAGATGCCCTACTTGTAAAGGCTATGACTATTTAAATCTGAAAGAAATTAAAGACGATTTGCAAATGTGCCTGGTAACAAGGCGGCCACCAGATTTCAAGTTATGCCCCATGTTGTCGCCAGAGTTAGGTATGGCTTTTAACTACATCATTTTCTTCATTTTATGGTAATTTAAGTATTACTTAATAGTTTGAGGAGGGAGAAAAATCCATGTTTTTCAATTTTAAAATACATATCTTCCTAGGAAAAACACTGCTCAACTTGAAAAAATGTAAGTTTGATAAAACACCTTTAGGGTCATCCACCAACGGGTTCTCTGCGGATGAAAACCCTTGAAATTTATTTGCATAGCTCTGGTACTAAATATTGAAACATAGGCTTCAAAGTGTTTTCTAAAATATTATTCTATTGATATATTTTAAGCCTTGTTTGTTGTAAAATGGTTGTCATCATAATATTGTATGTAATAAAATCATGTATTCAAAAAGTGTTAATCAGTAACATCTGTAATCGTTCAGACACTTCAAGTTTTTGTTGAAAAGTTTTGATAGTCAATGTTTTTGTTATAGTTTGTTGTTTTAAATGAAAATACATCATAAGAATTATCATGTGCAATAGGAAATTTTTATTTATCTAGCAAAATGTATTAAAATTTGCATATCTGAACTGAACATGACAAGATGCTACAAACTGATGATTTATTCTCTTAAAAATCTGATAGAAATTTCATAATCTATCTTTTTAAAGATGGTAAAAGTATTTAAAATATCCAAAGTGTTTAACTATGGTTGATCTTTACATTATGGTAACTTGGCGTTTTTTTGGCGAAAATTTGGCGACCAACTCTCCTACAGCAACCCTCTATTTTTTTCCCCGCCGCCATTTTGTCTTCATGAAGTAAAGACATGTTTCTTTTCTTTTTATCTACTGAACACTTCTTCCAACAATCTAGTAGCCGAATTACATTTATGCTAGAAATTTTATCAAACAAAACTGCTTAATCATGACAAATATTCACTGCAAAATTGGGGGAAAGTGCACAATACCATACTCCTTACGCGTTTTTCAAAATAACACATACACATAAACCATGTACAACGGCGACTTATTTTTTACTTAAAAAAACATCCCAGAATTGCACAAAAATGGCATTGCGCACACTCTTCACTATATCCATGTACACTGCTTTTTTCTCCATAAATTAGAAAAATTTCACGAAAATACATGACAATTTTCTCAATCTTTAAACCCGGTAAAAAGAACATATATGAAATTACTGATCGCGAAAAAGTATTTACCCTTTACAAATATGAACATTTCCACATATAAAATAAATAAAATATCCAAAAACTTTTATCTCTAAATCATCTATTACATTATACACGTCACCAACGAATTCATACCGCAAGCATTACAAATACTTAGTATCAAATATTTAAATTATTTCCATGCACGTTTATTTCAACTTAAACGTATACCAAATTCCTACAAACATAAAATTCACAAAATAACTATCATTTAATTAAAATATCACTAAACCATGTACACGTCGACTTATTTTTACTTAAAAAAACATCCCACAATTGCACAAAAATGGCATTGCGCACACTCTTCACTATATCCATGTATACACTGCTTTTTTCTCATAAATTAGAAAAATTTCACGAAAATACATGACAATTTTCTCAATCTTTAAACCTGGTAAAAAGAACATATATGAAATTATTTGATCGCGAAAAAGTATTTACCCTTTACAAATATGAACATTTCCACATATAAAATAAATAAAATATCCAAAAACTTTTACCTCTAAATCATCTATTACATTATACACGTCACCAACGAATTCATACTGCAAGCATTACAAATACTTAATATCAAATATTTAAATTATTTCCATGCACGTTTATTTCAACTTAAACGTATACCAAATTCCTACAAACATAAAATTCACAAAATAACTATCATTTCATTAAAATATAATTAAATTCAAAAACACTACTTAAAATATAAATGAGCACATACATTAAATTAATAAAAATTACCTTACAATCCTAATTACTTTAAACTAAATCATTGCTAATAACAATTTTCCCAATAATACAAAATTCCTTTCCACCTTACATTTAGAACAATGCATAAAAATAATATCCTCAAATAATTAAAAATACTAACTTACCTAATCTTCTTCAGAATCTTGATTACGTGTCCGATAAACTATTCTTTAGTTACGGCCATGGGATCCAAAAATTCACGAACACTGTTTCACACAACACAGAATAAACCAAATACAAAATTTCCAGATTTTTTCCCGATTTCCCCCCTTTTCTGATTCAAGAACCGTAATTCATCCATTAATATCACATGACATATCCCATGATCTCTCATTTCTCTCACACAAAATAATGCATAATCGGAACTGAGTACTGCTCACATTATTACCAAAGTCCCAGGTAGTAACCTTTATCGCCTCCAAGATGTCGCCAAACTACCAGTTACCATATTGTAAAGATCAACCTTGACTATCTTTAAAGATATAAAAGGATGGAAATTGCATGGAGCTGTTGAAAATGCACTGAAGTCTGTTCTGAACTCCAATCTCACACCAATGAATCTCAGATAAGCAGTCCAAAAAATTAGTACTGTAAAACATTCAGCAGATGTAGAAGAATGGTTTGCAATTAACCCTGAAATTTTTAGAAGAAACATTTATAGCACATGGATACAAAATACAGAAAATACAGTGTTAAAAACTGTTTTGTTCTGATAAAATAGAAGATTTAAAATCAACTTTTATTGTATTGTTTTCTTTCTAATGCTAAAAATTATCTGTTATCGTTGTCTTATGGTTATGGCTTGCCAAGGTATGCGTTTTTTGTAGCACTTATAAGCCTGCTATTGGATGTATCATGACTTATTGACAATGATGCAGTTTTAAAATTATGTTACCTATTTGAATACTTATGCAACTGCTGTTTTCAGAATCTTTGTATGTTAACTACTGCCCACTGATACTTTGCCAAATGTACCACTCCTTATTCAGATTCTAAGTTTTGGTACACCTTAGAAACTCTTCAAGATTTTTCTGAAAAGATAAAATTTTTATTTCTTTTTCTTTTGTTATTAATGTACTTCTTTTCTGTGTAGGGACTAAGGGTGGGTGGCAATGGCTTTTTTAATTTCAGGTGGATCCCGAGACCAGTTAGAGCATCTTTTTGGATAATGTTTATTCATCTCATGGTGATTTTTATAGCATCTTGCATTATGTTTACTAGATTTGGTGACTAGTGAAGCAGAAGTAATTCATTATTTCCAAGAATATGCCAGAAAAATGTAAGTGTTCCATTTCTTAACAATTAAATGGTATATGATGGATATGCAATAAAATGTAATATTATAAATCCTCACAAAATGTAAGAATAAGAGTTGATGATTGGTTCATTTGCTTTCTTATTTAGCAGAGTTCAGTCTTTGCATTTTGAGAAAAAGTTTCATACTTGGGACCTGCCTTTTGTAGAACAATTTTCCAGTTTTGCCATTTTTATATATCATTAAGCAGCAGACTATTTTCAGAGTTATAAGATCTTATCATCAAAAAATATATATATTAATGAACATGATATGGTCAGCTGAACATATGGCCAACAGAATACTAAAAGACTTGACTGTTGTAAACAGAGTTTCCTTTGAAATTGGAGTACCTTACAAACAGGAGAAATCAACAAAAGCTTTTCTATTAAACACACACACACACCCACAAAAAAAAAAAAAAAAAAAAAAAAAGTGAGAAATTAAATACTGATTGTTTGTTAAATAAAGAGGTGTCAATTCCTTTAGAATTCTGCAGAAATGATTGGCACAACTGTAACAAGATCTAAGCCAACTTTCATGGTTCAGTTCATAGTCGATGAGAAAATACATGTGTGCTGGCTGTTGATGAGCACACCTTTTGATGATCATTTAAATGTTAACAAATATTCTATTATTCAGTGTTCCATTATTTGTGCTATAAGTGTTGGAAAAGCTACAGTTATTTACTTTCAGTAAAAGAGATTCACACATTCAACTTAGTTATGTTATGTGACAAGAAAAAATGTTCTTCGTAAATGCAATAAAAAGATACATTTATTTACAGAAATGCAGGTTTGTTACAAGTTAGTTTCAGATACCAGTATCTTATGAGAGAAGAAGAACATGCTGTTGCCAATCTGCTGCAGCTAAGTATTGGCATCAAAAGGTGTGGCTCATCAATAGCCAATAATAAATACCGAAATTTTCAACAATGCATTCATAAAAACCCAAGATTTTAATATTTAAAGTATCCTTTTCAAAACAATTCCTTCATTCTGCTATGCATTTATGTCAACCATTTTTCCCAGTCTTTGAAAGTTTTAAAGTGGCTTTTGTGAAATCATTTCAAACTTTCTTTTATTGCAACAATAGACTAAAAATATTACCACAAGCAATCAATTTTAATTGTAGAAATAAAAGAGTCACATGATACTATAATCTAGTGAATACAAAGCTCCTGAAGCTGAATTTTTGACTAAAATTTCATGTACAATGAGCATTACTGGTAGGTGCATTAACATAATGCATCTGTGAGCCATTTCATAGCAATTTATGTCATTTTCTATCAATTGGTTTATGCAGATGCAAAATATTCAGATAATATTCTTTGTTACAGACTGGCCAGTTAATAGAAATTCATGATGCACAGTATCAGACTATTCGGAGAAAATAGTCAGTGTTACCTTGATTTCTTAAGTACTTTGACATGGTTTTTTTTTCAATTTTACGTTACCTTTCAAGAACTATTCATTTGATTGTTACACTATTTCTGAATATTTCAGTGTTTTCAGAATAATTCGAAAAATTATAATCCACAGGTATAAATGATTTAAGATGGTCTCTAAGTGCCAAGTTTTTGACCTGATGGACATGTTGCTCATTTGTTGAAGTGGTTTAGCCATCGCAGTATGATTCATTTTTGATGCATTCTGTATCTTTCTCAAACATCTAGTTTTTGAAGGCACTCAAAAACTGAAAGTATTTTCCTCAAAGGCATTTTGCAACATTTCAAATATTTTATAATGGATATTTCATTACAAAAATAAAATTCAATGTATGTTCTTTGTTAATGACATTCACCATTTTGAGAAACTGCCAAAGCAATAATTCTTTACTCATTAATAATCATGTTATTTGAAAATGATAAAGGAAATCAAATACAAATTCTTTCCATATGTCAACAGAATTAATATTTTCTTCTGCAGAAACATAGCTCAGGAATATTTTAACTGAAATCATTTCCATTACTTTTGTATCACAACAGTGTATATTGAACTGTAATGTGTAACAAATGTACTTGCATGTTAGCATTACTGAAAATATACACTTTATGTATTCTATCAAGTAGTAAATTTCATAAGCATCTAAAATAGATTGGTAGCTAAGCTGAAAGTTAGTTAGTAGGTCAGATATCTACCCATTGGTATAACAGAAAATACCTGTTTATAAATTTTGGTCTATGGTTTCAAACATTTGATCTGAGGTATTTATTTCATGTCCGTACATTAGTTTGCCTATTGCTTTAAGAGTTGTTGAATGCTATTAGTTTAACTCTTTGAAATCCAGACCCTTCGCTAAGCTGTATCCTCAAAATACCTTAACCGCCCAAAATACTTTTCCAGTTTCACAGCAGTTTCCTCCCCTCCCCCTTCCATTAACGCAGAAAATAGGTATGAAGATTTCCAGTGACATTCTTTGTACTTTCTAACAAAGATTCCATTAGCCTTTGACCCCGTTCTTTATAAAACTATTCTGAAGGTCAGATCAACAAGCCTTTCTGGCTTTGTTATGATCACGACTGAGATTTGTTTATTTCTGTTATTTTTATAGGAAGGAATAAATTGTTTAAAAATAAATATAATCCTTAAAATTTTAAACTGCTCTTTTATTGCTGTTTAAAGCTTAAAAGCACACTGTACCACAAAAGAATCAACAACGAAATGTCACGATTATCCAAAAGATTTAAAAAAAAAAACCTCTTAGGACAAGCTGTCTGCAGCAGTGGCATAGTGGGGGGGCAAGGGGGTGTAGGATGCTCCGGACGCCGCTTGCAGAAAGGCGCCAAATGGTATCCAAATAAGATTTTCATCATATCACGGTGTTCTTTTTTTCGAGAGAGGGGAGGGCTCCAAAAAGGTATTTTTCCCCGGGCGACAGTTATGCTTGCTACGCCACTGGTCTGCAGTATACTGATACAATGCATTTGGGGAAAGGGCACCTGCTATTGTATACCTTAGGGGAAGGGAAGAAAAAAAGATTAGAATCTCGGACGTTTTCGGGCGGTTCTGGTTGTTTCAATGCAGGGCTGTGTCGGGCGGATTAAATGTAAAGGAGTTAATGGTAGTGATCTCAAATTGCTACTGATGATTCAAGATCTTGTAAAAATTTTTAAATTTGTGTTATATCTGAAAATATAGATTTATATTTAAATTTCAGAAAAGTATTCAATAAGTTGATCTAGGCATATTTAAAATTCACTCTTCATACTATATTGAAGTGGTATTATCACAACCTCCTTAGCAGTAAATTTTCAGAATGTGCCAAACTCTGGCAGTCATGCAAATATCCATTTTTCAGATGACCTTGCTCCTAACAATTCTTAAGTCAACCAACATCACCATTTTCATGCCCATTTTTTTGTTGTATTTATTACACATCACAGTGATTTTTGAGCAATGGGAGAAATAGCAGTAAAATTTTTGCAGGAATACAGTTTTTTGCCTGAAAAGCACTAAAAGAAATCAAACCAAATCAAACTGATTTGAATTTCTGACTATAGTTAGCTATCAAAGATTTGTTTATTTCTTTTTGTTAGAATTAAAATTTGCATTCTTTAGTGTGAAATTTTAGTGTTCATTTAGTTTGGTTGATATATCTCAAAGCAGACAGACAAAATAAGCTATAAATTCCCCGAGTCTGAGATAGAAATTTCTAAGTCAGAGATGGAATCTTTAAAAATCAAATAATGAATTTTATTGATAGATGAAAAAATTATTTGAACTTTGAGTTTCTGGAGAATCCAAGCAATGAACTGAGAGAAAGTTACTGTTTTATCTAATTTTAAATTTCATGATGGTATGTTTTCTAAATTAGTTATTAACAGATTTACTCGGTAACAATGATCAATAATCATAATTTTATTTTCTTTGATTCTAGCTCATTTCAAGCATGTTAATGTGAAACTGAATGCTACCTTTCTTAAAGAAATGCCTGAAAAGCTTGAAATTCAATCTGGAGGACGATGGTTTCCAAAGCATTGCTCGTCATGGCAACGGGTAGCTATTATTGTTCCTTATAGGAACAGAGAAATGCATCTCAAAATCTTCCTGCAAAATATGCATCCTTTTCTTCAAGCCCAAAAACTTGATTATGGAATATTTATTATAGAACAGGTATATTTCAGTCAATTCTAAATGTTCTTTTGATTGGAATAAATTCTAAGCATTTTTTTAATATAAATATCTTAAAATACTTAATCAATTTACAGTTATTTAGGTACATAATGTGATATTAACATGTTTCTTTTTAATCTAAAGGTAATGTATAATTAAAAGTTTAAACTTTTTAACACTATCTCTGAGAAAAGAACATATTCTCTATCAGTAAAGATTTTCCAGTCTTCAGTGTATATTGCTAAAAGGAAATGTATGAATTTTTAACAAATTTCTAAAAATGTCTTGCATTAAGATCTCTGTTTCATTGACATTCATCAGTACAAATATTCTCATATATAAGGTAGAGGGAATAATTTATGTCAGAATTTTCAAACTTCAAATGTTAGTTGCTATAATTCTTTATATTTTTCTTTTAATTTTTTTAATAATTTTGTTTTATTTATTTATTTTTTTAAAATCAAGGCATACAATTACTTTTGAAAATGTGTGAATTTTTCTTTCTGTGCGATTTTAGAGTGAGAAGCATGATTTCAACCGTGGAAAACTTTTGAATATAGGATATGTAGAAGCTTCCAAAGAACCAGATTTTTGCTGTTTCATTTTTCATGATGTAGACTTACTGCCAGAAAGCCCTCAGCACATATACGGTTGCTCTGAAGAACCCCGGCATATGTGTTCTGCATTAGATACTTTTCGATATGTGTGCGTATATAAAATGTTCATACTTTATTATTATAGTATTAAATGCATAGTCAATGATATTTATTTTGTATCTAGTATGAGCATTTATGAGAACCTCCTTAAATTCCTAAAATTTATTACTTTTTGTTCCTTTCTTGAATGTTTTTAAACATGGTTAAAAACACTAAGAGTTTTGTATAATTTTAGTACATTCAAGGGCCATGTAACTTCCATAATTGCAAGGGGACTGTGACTTCAGGAGTTGCCCATTTGCATTAGTGTTAATAAGGTTGAATGTCTTACAGAAACAATATTTCTTTTGTTAATTTTTGGAAGTCATACAAATACTGAAATTACAGTTCAGCAATGTGCATACATCAGTAACAGTGATCATGCATTTCTATATTTCCTGTTTAATATTTGGTCTTGTTGCAAATAATAATGGAGAAATGCACAGATTTGTTTTGTGTGCTGGAGTGCCTTAAATAAAACATAAGTTATAGAAGAAATATATATATATGTATATACGATCTACCGGAAAGTTCTGTCCCTTTTTGGCATAAAACAAAATACAAATTTTTCTTACCGTCAATAAATTGTTTTAAAATAATATAATTGCCATTATTATTAATGACTCTTTGAAGCATGAAGGCAATTTGTATATCCCATTTTTGAAAAATGATATAACTTTTGATGTGAAAAATTGAGTTTGTGCTTGTTTGATATCTATTTCAGTTTTGAATTGTTTGCCCTTCAAAAAATTTTGTAAGGGCAAAAACAAGTGATAGTCAGAGGGTGCTAAGTCCGGGGAATATGGTGTATGTGACAGAATTTCCCAGCCTATTTCTGCAATTTTTTGACAAGTCCCCAAAGCAGCATGTGGCCTGGCATGATCATGATGCAGTACGATGTCCTTCCTGTTGAAAATCGTCGGCCTCTTTTCTTGGACTGTTGTCTTTAATTGTCTAATTGATGACAGTACTTCTCTGAATTGAACTTTTTGTTCAGTTTTAGAAGCTCATAATGTACTGGTCCTTGAATGTCCCACCATATACACAACATTCTCCTTATTCAGAGTCAAATTTGGTTTAGAGGTGGGAGGGCTAGGTTTTCTTGGTTCACAATATGCCCTTTTCCTTACGATGTTTCTGTGGGTGATCCACTTTCATTCCCAGTTATCATCTAGTTCAAGAAGGACTTCATTTTGTTTGGAGCAAGCAGAGATGTGCATATGACGACTTGATCATCCAAATTCTTCTGACTTAATTCAGGTGGCACCCATCTTGAATATTTCCACATCAATCCTATCTTCCGAATATGGTTCGAAATGGTTTGCTACTGAATTAAGCTTTCTGTGATCATAAAAGATCTTGTCACAACAGTCCATCGCAAGTGCACAAAGAATGATCATTCCTAAATGTTCAATCACCTGTTTCAAATTTTTCTTCTTCATTGCCTTATCAGAAACTGTACCTTCACCAAACACTTTCAATAAATGCTTCTATAGCATTTCTACCTTGTTGAAATTCATATAAAATATAGTGGCGTAAATGAACTTTATCAGTGGCCATGGGTACTCTATCGCTTCACACTTATGACTAACATGAATCAACTTTGTTTTAGTTAATGCTACTTCAGTATGTATACATTAAGTGATAAAAATAGAGAGGCAAACATACGGCAAATAAACATGTGCTTACGTGTCGAAAATTGTTGTCATAAAACGGACATAACTTTCCGGTAGACTGAATATATATTGAGTGTGAATATGAAAGTTGAAACAATTGATGAAATAGTTGAAGCAGTTCCAATGTCTGTTGAGTCATGATGAAAATAATAGTTAAGTTATTTTTAACTCCAGAAGAAATAATCATTTAAACTGAAAAATAACTTTCCTGTGTACATGAATTATTCAAGAGATCCAGGAACTAGAATTGGACGATACACTCCAGGACTGATTCACTGTACCGAGTGAATTTACTCTTCCAAAAAATGGAGTTGTAGCTGTTTTATAATTCATGGAGAGCTATAGTTGGAAGCATGCTAGGAACAGTGATCTACTGTTCGTTCATGAACTGATTCACTTTCAAGTGAGCTTATGCCTGGTTGGCGAAAAAAGAAAGGAGTTTTTATTGAAATCGTGCCAGGAAAGTTTGATTTTCATTTTTTGAAAGAAAACAATGTTTATCATCCTATTAAAAGTAAGCTTAATTTTTATCATTTTCCAACTTTTTGAAGAAATTTTATTCCAGAATTTTATTGTTAGTTCTATTTAGAAAGTATGTTTTAGGAAGTTTTAAAACTACATTTGAAAGAAATCAGTTAAGGGAGTTAGCATTTGATTGAGTCAATTCTTCTGATCCCACTTTCTGTTCGATTCTTTTTTCATTCGTTCATTTTTGTTTGATTAATTTTTTCATTCTGCTGATTCACCTTTGTTCTGGATCTTTTTAGTCAAGGTTATTATTAGGGAATAGTGAGTCATAGAAATGAACTAGTTCATTTCATTGAGTGAATCATTCTGATCCATTCTTATAAAATAAAAGAGTGATTTTGCTCATCTCTACCAGAACTATATATTTCTTTAAGGAATAATTTTAGAATTTTTTCAGTTGGAGAAGGTCCTGCTAATATTTATGATAATAATTTAATATTTTCCGTAAGCAAAGAAGTAAGTTGTTGTATTACTGTTTTATCATTGTCTTTCTAATAGTGAACATGATAAAGAATAATTGGCTTACGTGCTCAGAAACGAAAGATATTTTATTTTGTTATAATTGCAAGTTCATTTCTAATTTGTGACCCTCTGACAAATTAAGTGCAGAGTTTCACAAAGAATTTCTAAATTTCTTTTCTAACTATGAACTGTCTCATAAGCATTTAGATCATTTGCAAAAATGTAAAGAATTCTCAACAATAATGTAGTGCAATCTACCACTTTTATTTATTTATTTATTAGATGGTGTCACTGAAGTGCTGTTTTTAAATGTGAAATCAAATACAAATAATTAAGAAAAATTAAAATTATTCTATTAATTAATTTAATAACCCATCAAATTTAAATTCCTTTCAGTTCATAGTTAGTTATTTATTTCTTAGATGGTGCCACTAAAATGCTATTTTTAAATATGAAAATTAATGCAAATAATTAAGAATACATAAAAGATTCCTTTAATAAATTGAATAATTCATTGAATTTTTTAATCCCATTAAAGTTTTAATTTCATTAAATAAAAGGCCATTTTTATGAGTCATTCAGCCATATTTTTTATTAATGTCACACAGAATGCCAAAAAAGTTGTCATCATTCTTTATATGCATCAAAGAAAGGATTATTATAACAACCAGTTTTAGTGATGTAATCTAAGAAATAAATGACTAAATAAAAATGGTAGATTGCATGCTATATCATTTCTGAATTGTCTCTGAATATCCAGAACTCACAATTCATAGACCAAGTGATATTTGATTAAACAGAAAAGGTATAAAAAAAGGCAAGTTTATTTTATTGTTATATTTGTGGAGAAAAGGATGCAAGGATTCATAGCATTCTTTTGTGTGTCCTAAACACTACTTAATGAAAGCAAACTTTGGTATGGTCTCATAAGGTAGTGTTTAGTTCATCCAGCTGGCAAATGACAGATCAGTGGTTTATTTTTCAACCATATCTGATTCTTCAAATTTTTGGCTTTGAAAGCATAATGATCTCTATAATGACTGTTTTGTAAAGGACAACTAAGAAAAGATAAAAATTCCAGCCAGTGGGAAATTTCTGTGATAATGTGAAGTTTTATTTATTTGCATACTCTGTTGAATGAGCATCTCTATCAAATGAGAAATCTTGAATGATTTATTATTTACTTATTTAATGGTTCTAGTTCACACACCTGATGTAAATCACAAAGAATATCTGAGTGTGGTTTTAAAGAATGGTTGATACATTTTCTAGACTTGTTTTCACTAAAGGTTACTGATTAATTTTTTTTTTTTTTTTTTTTTAAATTTGAGATACTGCTGAGTTTTACCAAGTTAGTGTTTCACATACCTTATACGATCTCAGGATATCTTTTATATCTGATCTTAAGATACTTTTGATATCTAATTTTGGGATGTCATTGCCAATCACTAGAAGTAACATGAAAGGGAAAAATAATGGCAGATAAGTCATATTCTTTAAGAAAACCAAAGAAATCATTGCATATTTTTTTTCTGCTCAGATTATGAATTCAATTGTAAGTAGTATAGTAATTCAGAATTTGCATTAAATTTGTTTGATGTGATGTGAAGATTAATTTCTTTATTTCTGCTTTGGAAAGCATTGACAAATTATTAGTTATGTATGCCTGACTTTGATACTATTTTATGAAACCAAATAGGTGCATCATTTGAAAACTCTACAGTTAACAGTTACAAAATTAAAAACATAATATATGCCTTAGATGAGTCGGAAAAAAAATGAAAGGGGACAGTTTTATTGAGATTACTAGTTTTAAAAGGGATCGCAGTATTTAATTTCTCCACACTTGTGATCTGGTTCATTGTTTTAAGCCAAGTCCAAATTTCTATTCAAGTTTACTGGAAAGCATGCAGTATGAATGTTGCAGTCAAACTTATAAATGCAATCTATGTGTTAACTATTGCAAGCTATAATTACATCTTTAGTAAGTATTCAGTAAATATTGGATAATGTTAGATGTACCATATGCAACATATAAAGGGAGTTTTCTTATGAAAATAGGAATGAGTTTATTTCAGAGAAAGAACATAAAATGCATATAAACTTCTTCTGTGTTGTAGTAATAGATTCTGCTGTTATACCTTTGAAAGAGAAAGGACAATTGTTTCACTACTGTGATATGTTCAATGTTAATTATTTTAATTATATTCAATGTTAGTTTAACACAAGAATTTGACTATAAACAAGGAAGGTCTAAATAACAGCTGAGAAAAACTAATGGCCAAATGTATAAGACTGTCAATATTGGCAAAATGACCTGAATTCGGTATCCAGTGAATGGGCT